TCCTGATGCACACCTTTCTTGACTTTAAACCACAAAGTATCCCCTTGTTCTGTTCAAATGACTGCCTCTTGTTGTATGTACAGGTTCCTCCTGAGCACAATTAAGTGTTCTAGAATTCCCATTCTTTGCAATATTATCCATAATTTGTTATGATCCACACAGTCAAATGTCTTTGCTTAGTCAAGAAAACACAGGTAAACATCTTTCTGGTATTCTCTGCTTTCAGCCATGATCCATCTGACATCAGCAATGATATCCCTTGTTCCACACCCTCTTCTGAATCCACCTAGAATTTCTGACAGTTCCCTGTTGATGACTGCTGCAACTGCTTTTGAATTATCTTTAGCAAAATTTTACTTGCATGTGATATTAATGATATTGTTTGATAATTTCCACATTTTGTTGGATCACTTTTCTTTGGAATGGATACAAATATGGATCTCTTCCAGTCAGTTGACCAGGTAGTTGCCTTCCAAATTTCTTGGCATAGGCAAATGAGCACCTCCAGCGCTGCATCCCTTTGTTGAAATCTCTCAGTTGGTATTCAGTCAATTCCGGGAGCCTTGTTTTTCACCAGTGCCTTCAGTGCAGCTTAGACCTCTTTCTTCAGTACCGTTGGTTCTTGATCATATGATACCTCATGGAATGACTGAACATCAACCAATTGTTTTTGGTATAGTGACTCTGTGTATTCCTTCCATCTTCTTTTGATGCTTCCTGTGTCATTTAATATTTTCCCTGTAGAATCCTTCAGTATTGCAACTCAAGGCTTGAATTTTTTCTTCAGTTCTTTCAGCTTGAGAAATGCCTAGCGTGTTCTTCCCTTTTGGTTTTCTATCTCCAGGTCTTTGCACATGTCATTATAATACTTTGCCTTCTCGAGCCACCCTTTGAAATCTTCAGTTCTTTTACTTCATCATTCTTTCCATTCATTTTAGCTACTCTACATTCAAGAGCAAGTTTAAGAGTCTCTTCTGACATCCATTTTGGTTTTTTCTTTCTCTCCTGTCTTTTTAATGACCCCTTGCTTTCTTCATGTATGATGTCCTTGATGTTATTCCACAACTCGTCTGGTCTTCAGTCATTAGTGTTCAGTGCATCAAATCTATTCTTGAGATGGTCTCTAAATTCAGGTGGGATATACTCAAGGTCATATTTTGGCTCTCGTGGGCTTGTTTTAATTTTCTTCAGCTTCAACTTGAATTTGCGTATGAGCAGTTGATGGTCTGTTCCGCAGCTGGCCCCTGGTCTTGTTCTGACTGATGATATTGAGCTTTTCTATTGTCTCTTTCCACAGACGTAGTCGATTTGATTCCTGTGTATTCCATCTGGCAAGGTCCACATGTGTAGTCATCATTTATGTTGTCTTTTCAATGAAACGTTATGTTATTTTCAGTGAAGAAGTCATTGGTCTTGCAAAATTCTATCATGCAATCTCCGGCCTTGTTTCTGTTACCAAGGCCATATTTTCCAACTACCATTCCTTCTTCTTTGTTTCCAACTTTCACATTCCAATTCACCAGTAAATTATCAATGTGTCTTGATTGCATGGTTGATCAATTTCAGACTGCAGAAGTTGGTAAAAATCTTCCATTTCCTCATCTTTGGCTTTAGTGGTTGGTGCGTAAATTTTGAATAATAGTCGTATTAACTGGTCTTCCTTGTAGGGATGTGGATATTATCCTTTCACTGATAGCATTGTACTTCAGGATAGATCTTGAGACGTTCCTTTTGACGATGAGCACAATGCCATTCCTCTTGAATTTGTCATTCCTGGCATAGTAGACCATATGATTGTCTGATTCAAAATGGCCAATACTAGTCCATTTTAGCTCACTAATGCCTAGCATATTGATCTTTATGCATTCTATTTCATTTTTGACAACTTCCAATTTTCCTAGATTCATACTTCGTATATTCCATGTTCCAATTATTAATGATGTTTGCAGTTGTTTCTTCTCGTTTTGAGTCAAGCCGCATCAGCAAATGAAGGTCCTGAAAGCTTTACTCCATCCATGTCATTAAGGTCAACTCTACTTTGAGGAGACAACTCTTCCCCAGTCATTTTCTGAGTGCCTTCAACCTGAGGAGCTTATCTTCCGGCACTATATCAGTGTTCTGCTATTTGTAAGATTTTCGCTGGCCAATCTTTTCAGAAGTAGACCACCAGGTCCTTCTTCCTAGTCTGTCTTGGTCTGGAAGCGCTGCTGAAACGCTGCTGAAACCAAAGGTGACCTAGCTGGTATTTGAAATACCGATGGCAAAGCTTTCAGTATCACAGCAACACATAAGCCACCACAGTACGACAAACTGACAGACACGTGGTGGAGTTAAACATAGTTTTGTTTTGTTTTTTAATGGTAATTCTAGTTAAGCATAGAATCACCATAAAAAAAAAGCCAAACCCATTGCTGTCTAGTGGATTCCAACTCCTGGTGACCCTATAGGACAGAGTAGAACTGCCCCATAGTGTTTCCAAGGAGCAGCTGGTGGTTTTGAACTGCCGACTTTTTGGTTAGCAGATGCAGCTCTTAACCACTGCGCCACTAGGGCTCCCAGAATTACCATATGACCCAGCAATACTACTCCTAGGTACATACCCAAAAGAGTTAAAAACAGGTACTCAAACAAATACTTGTACGTGCATGTTCATAGCAGCACTCTTCACAATAATCAAAGACAGAAATAGCTCAACTATCCATCAACAAACGAGTGGATAAACAAATTGTGTACATACATACAATGGAATATTATTCAGCCATAAAAAAGAATTAAGTGCTGATACATGCTGCAATGTGGATGAACCTCCAAAACATTATGCTAAGTGAAAGAAATCAGACACAAAAGGTAACATATTGTATGATTCCATTTATATGAAATATCCAGAATAGATAAATCCATAGAGACAGAAAGAAGATTGGTGGTCACCCGGGGCTGGGGGAAGGGAGGACTGAGGGAAAACTGCTGAATGGTTAAGGGGTTTTATTTTGGAACTAGATAGAGGTAGTGGTTGCGTAACATTGTAAGTAAAAGTGCTGAATTGCCACTGAATTGTTTAAAATGGTTAATTTTATGTTATATGAATTTCCCCTCATTAAATTATTTTTTAACCATTTTTTTCTGAGCAACATGAAGTTAAGCATTTCTCAGATCCCTCAAAAGTTATTTTTTTAACTTAAGCAAGAGACATTTGATAAAATATCGATTAGATTACAAAATAAAGTTTTATATAACGAAGTTATCTCCATATCCTGAGTGAGCCAGTAGAAAAAATGCTCTATGAATCTGAGATACAAATAAATGTTCTGTGTCAAAGAGTGCATACTTTCAAATGTGGTGATGACAATGAACTTTTATGTTTTTAGGCAGTGATTTAGTATGTTGCTGTGCATAAACATCAGGAGAGCTCTTGAGCCTGGATAGGTATGAGAGTGACAGTGATTGGGCTTCAACCGAGGGCAAATGTAAAATTATCTGTCCTATAAAATAGAAGTGACTAAGACCTACTCCATAACAGCGTTCAGAGGATTAAATGAGTGACCATACTTCACTGATCCTAAGATACATTGTTTTTAAACATTTCAACATCTCTGAAATAGGGATCCACCACCCGTCTGCCAGCTTGTTGTACTGTGGTCACTTGCATGTTGCTATGATGCTGGAAGTTATGTCACCGGTATTTCAGATACCACCAGCAGTGTCACCCATGGTGGACAGGTTTCAGTAGAGCTTCCAGACTAAGACAGACTAGGAAGAAAGGCCTGGTGATCTACTTCTGAAAATTAGCCAATGAAAACCCTATGAATCACAACAGAATATCGTCCAGTATAATACTGGAAGATGAGCCCCCAAGGTTGGAAGGCATTCAGAATACACAGTAGCTTCAACAATGGGCTCACGCATAACAATGATCGTGAAGATGGTGCAGGGTCGGCAGTGTTTCCTTCTGTTGTACATGGGATCACATGAGTTGGAGCCGACTCTACAGTAGCTAACAACAATGAAACAAGGATGTGCTTTACAATTGTTGCATCTGGATTCTGCAAGCAACCTGAAAGAGCTTGGAAGCAGGTTCTTCGTAGGTCCTCCAGATAAGAATGTAGTTTAGCTGGCACCTTGATTTTAGCCTTGGAAGACTCTGAGCAGAGAACCCAGCTGAGTCAGCCCACCCAGACTTTTGACTTGTCAAACTGTGAGATAATACGTGTTGTTTTAAGCTGTGAAACTTGTAGTAATTTATTATTCAGCAATAGAAAACTAATACACAATTTTTAAAAGACCAAGGCAAACAACAAGCTGTCAAGCCGACACCAGGGGATAAGCTCTCCTTGCTCTTAGGGGGCTTGCCAATGCTAGACTGTAAACTCTGGGAGGCTGGAGACCAGGTTTAACTCACTTTTGTACTCCAGCACCAGTGTCTGGTGCTTAATGCATATAAGTTGAATATTTAAAATTCAAAAAGAAAACCATCAGGGTTATGTGCAAATATTTATCTACCAGATGTTTACCACAGCAATAGCAGTAAAAAAAAACTGCACAAAAGCTCTATACAAGAATAGAGTTTGGCTATATAATCTAATAGTATATCCATAAGGAAAAAATACTATGCTGCCTTTTAAATAGTGATGTAGAAGACAATTTAATGACAGAAACTTATTCATAATATATTTTATTTAGTAGCAAATTACAAAAACACATGTAGTATTATGCTATCTTTGTGAAGCATGCACATGCCTGCATGTACACACACACACACACACACACACAGAGCTAGTGCAAGAGCAAGAGCAAGAAACCTGAAAGGTGACATCTCTATGTATAAAAAGTGGTCATCTGATAGTAAGACCGTGGGCAATTTTTATCCTTCCAGTTTAGGGCGATGCTTTCAAGAACTGTTCTAAACATGTAGAAATTCTGTAATCAGAAAATAATTAGCACAGGAGGTAGATAGAAATCCATTGAAGGAGTGATTTATACTGGAAACCAGAGAAAGGCCTCACCTTGAGTAGCTCAACTCCACTGTCCTGGGCATTCTCAGCTTGTTCTTCAATTTGCTTTTGAAGGTAGAGAACTTGCCCCTCCAGGTACCTACTGATTCCTTCCCAGTAAAGAGGGGTTGGGGTTCTTCTTGGCACTAGAGTTTTAGCTCTATTGGAAAGTATTTTAAAATTGTCCCATTCTTGAAGTCTAGCATACCTGTATCACCACAAAAGCATAAAAAGAAATCAGTATTACCCTTAGAATGGGCTGATATTCTGAAACAGGTCTCTCTGGATGTGCACCTTCTAGTACCTGGGCTTCTAGAAGCCTGCCATGTGCCTACCCCCACCTGACTCTCCCTAAAAAAGAGGAAAATTGCGATATGGAGCATGGAAAGAATAGGATCCTTGGGAGCACCCAGGTAATAATCATCACCATTTACTGAGCACTTATTAAGGGCCAGGTGCTAAACAGTGTGCTTTATGCACATTCTGTAATCATCTAATGCAATCCTGTCTGCAATCATGTGAGGCAGATATGTCAACCCCATTTTCAGATGAGGAAAAGCAGGTTTAAAGTAGCAATACTGCACTTGGTCCAAGTTCATTAGCTGTGCCACAGTTGGGATGCAAACCCAAGTGTTTTTTCTGGCAGGATAATCTGTGCTCTCAACTTTTAAACCACCTCCATAGTTAAGTGGAGGGCTGGAGGGAACAGGGCAGAGTTCATTTAGGAGAGGATACCAGTATCTGGAGACCTATGGGCCACAGCAAAAACAAAACAAACGCAAAGGCACTAACATTGCCACACAGGACTAAGCAAGCTTACATTTAAGAGTTTGTAGAGGTTACAACATCAAACAGAGCCCACCCTCAATTTAGCCCTGGAAATGGAAACTCAGAGGTTTAAAAGATGTTAAACAGAGAAGAAGTAAGCACCTCTTTAAGACCCAAGATTCGCGGCACTGTCTCAAAATTGCTGCTCTCTTGAGAGAAGAGACAATAAATATGAAGATTTCCCCCTCAGATTGGCAAATTCAGAATGTCAGGGGTACTCATTTGAGTTCAAGTTCACAGGTGGTAGATTCTGGAATTGATAAAGACTGACAAGCATCATCATTAATCTGAAATAAGAAAAGGAAACTCCGTCCACTCTCCTTCTTTCACATACCATTGAGTATCTGCCAGAGTCTTTCTGGGAACATAACCTTTCCTAGGGTAATTGCTTTTTTCTCTGAGCGCTGATTTATTTTCTAAAGTTGATGACTCTGGGTGCTTGGGCTTTGATAATCTTATGTATTCTCTTAACTCTTTGGACTCTTTTAAAAAGTGAGGCATGCCAGACACATGGAGCTATAAATTCCAGGGCTTGAAGAAATTGCTCCAATTCCAAAGATACATAGCCTAGGCCAGAGCTACTCAATGTGTGGTACACAGACTGGCAGCTCCAGCATCAGCTGGGTGCTCTTCAGAAATGCAAATTCTCTGGCCCAACCCACATCTACTAACTCAGACAATGAAGGTGGGACCAGGAATCTGAGCTGACAGACTCTCCAGGTGATTCTTATTCCCACTAAAATTTGAGATGTATTGACCTAGGCCACAGCTGTTGAAGGAACCCTCCAGCTGGGAGACAGTAGAATAAGAAATTGAGAAGGATGATTTTGGGGCTTTAATTCCTTGAACTTTTACATGGCAAGTTAATTTGACTTTGAACTTTAATTTGGGGGAAGGGGCTTTAATTGGCAAGGATAACTAAGTTTGGGATTTTAATTTCTCCCAATGAAATTTATAATGATACAGGGTTTATACTCGAATTTGAGACAACTCTATCTTGTGGCATTTTATTATAGGAATATCATCATATTTTCATTTAATCTCATCATAAAACCTCTGATAGACCATATTAGATAACATGGCTGCATATAACTTGAAATGGGAAGTAGAAGAGAAAATGACTTTCAGCCTTAGGAATAGCCATAGAAATAATTTAATTAATGTTCTGCTCTGACCTATTTCATAATCTTCAGAGGCAAAATCAAAACTACCCACAAATGGTCCCAAAGAGCCCACAGAGGAGCAGTGTAGCCTGGTGGAGGTGGGAAGATAGTTTCTATCATACACTGTTGATCTCCTTCCCTGAGGGAGATGGCCACAGCTAAAGGCTTAATGAGTTAAAAACTTAATGGATTAATAGGGTACAAGTGAAGTGCTTCTTCCTCACCCCTGAGGTTTCCTTCTGTGGGAGGGAATTCCATTGGTGCAAAGCTCCAGGTCTTGTTCCTCCCCTTACTCTCTTCTCTAATAAGGAGTGACAGCAGGGGCAGATGACCCAGTAAGCAAGGTAAGCATGGGCTTACTTGTGCTGATTTAATAATCTGTAGTGAACAATTTCAAAGTGAAACCCGTGTGAAATTGTTCACTACATATTAGTAAGTCAGCACAAGTAAGCCCATGCTTAGCTTGCTTACTGAGTCATCTGCCTTCAGGGATTGTAAATTTGAAAAGAGGCTTTGATTCTGTAGGAAGGTGCTATGGGTTGGGAGAGAGACAGATGCCAGCCATACCCAGAAGCAGAATCTTTTTTTTTTTTTTTCTTTTTAATTGTACTTTAGATGAAGGTTTACAGAACAAACTAGTTTCTCATCAAACAATTAATACACATACTGTTTTTTGACATTGGTTACCAACCCCACGACATGTCAACACTCTCCCCTTCTTGACCTTGGGTTCCCCATTACTAGCTTTGTTGTCCCCTCCTGCCTTCTCATCCTTGCCCCTGGGCTGGTGTGCCCATTTAGTCTCATTTTGTTTTATAGGCCTGTCTACTGTTTGGCTGAAGGGTGAACCTCAGGAGTGACTTTAGTACTGAGCTATAAGGGTGTCTGGGGGGCCATACTCATGGGGTTTCTCCAGTGTCTGTCAGATCAGTAAGTCTGTTTTTTTTTTTTGTTGTTGTTGTTGTTTTTGTGAGTTACAATTTTGTTCTACATTTTTCTCCAGCTCTGTCCAGGACCCTCTATTGTGATCCCTGTCAGAGCGGTTGGTGGTGGTAGCTGGGCACCATCTAGTTGTGCTTGACTCAGTCTGGTGGAGGCTGTGGTAGTTGTGGTCTATTAGTCCTTTAGACTAATCTTTCCCTTGTGTCTTTGGTTTTCTTCATTCTCGCTTGCTCCAGATGGGGTGAGACCAGTGGAGTATCTTAGATGTAGAAGCAGAATCTTTGATGTGATGAAAAAATGTGAAATTGTTTACTACGGATCAGTAAGTAAGCCCATGCTTACCTCGCTTATTGGATAATCCACCCCTGAGTGACAAGTGACTTTTAGGAGAGGAATTAGCCATGTGTAGCTCAGCCCTTGTCTCTCTCCGTCTTGAGAGCCAGTGAGGTTACAGTGAGCTTAGCAGGGCTCTTCTCTCTGCTATGTAGTAGAAGGAGGCTTGCCTCTGGCGAGGAGACCTGAAGTTTTCCAAAAATGCCTGCTGCTGAGTGGGTAAGTCTAATCCTAGGCTTCAATATTAGGAAGTCCACTTGCCTGCAGATATAATCCATATCCTCCAACATCAGCTTTATCAGCAATATTTTTCAATTTGGTGAGATCTTAGTGGGAGTGAGTGGCTAAGTAGCAATATTTATTAGACTCCCTCAAGCCCCAATACACCTCAGAAGCAAGTAATCTTTGCTTATTTATTCCTGTATTTCCACAACATGTTGTGCACATAATAAATGTATGTGGCACTGAATACAATGGAGACAGCATCATTTGCTGGCCTTGGTTGAGGGCAATGAACTAGATGATCCCTAACATGTCTTTCAGTATAAATACTCTGACATGTTTAAGCTGTCCCAGGTATAAATTATGAATACTTTTTTCCCCTTAATTTCATAGAACTCTTCAGGATTCAACATTTTCACTTTGGGAATTTAGGGATATGCAACACATTGTTACCAGATAGCTCCACATGAGTAAAGTCCCAGCAAGATGCCACTTTGGAACTTGAGGATTCTGTTGTCCTCATTTTGGTATATGAAATCCAAACATTCTTCAAATGTCCTATAAACAAAGCCTAAAAAAGAGAAACAGGAGAGCTTTTCAGGTGGGTGGGATGGTCGCCTTTCGGGTCTACTAGCTCCCTGTAGAATGTTCCACTGCAGGGAGAGACCTTACTCTCTGATTACATTATGACACAGAGGGTCCCATGAGTTGCAACAACAGTATGACTGCACTGCCTTGTGTTTGCTGAGTCCCAGTTTTTGTGGAATTTTGCGTATATGATACAATTCCATAGTATAATCCAGGCAGTTGTGAGGTTTCGATCAATCCGTCTTGGCCCAAGCTCAAAGAGTCAGCTGCAGTGCAGGCTGGGACTTCTCCATCTTCCCATCCATCCCCTCTCACTCTCCAGCCATTTTTCCCTTGTTGGCAGGGATATCTGCAGGGATTTCAAAATTATGTGGTGAAAAAAGTCCCCAGGTTGGCACCTCTGGTTTAATGTATACACTAAGGGAAAGTAAGGGCTGCTTTCTTGGTGTAACTTGAAGGTTACCAGGAAAAAACTTGTTGTCCAAATCACGTTTCCCACCAGCCACAAGTGCCTGGAACGCTCACCATTAGAAATCCAGTCTTTCATTCTAAAGCATGAAGTCTCTAAATACTATATCCTGCTAAAAGTTAAACACCTCTAGTAAAAGGCACATCAAGGTCACTATCACTTAGTAGTAGTCCCTGGGTGGCACAACTGGTTAAGCACTGGACTGCTAATCGAAAGGTTGGTGGTTCAAACCCACCCAGAGGTGCCTTGGAAGTAAAGCCTGGCAATCTGCTTCTGAAAGGTCACGGCTTTGAAAATTCTATGAAGTGCAGTTCTGCTCTGCATGCTTGGGATCGCCCTGAATTGGAATGGATTAGACAGCACCTAACAACAACGTCATTTATGTGCAAATTGATCTGATCGCTTAACTGGCAGTTTATACCCAACAGGTTCCTCCAGACTAATTCTCCTCCTCAGCTGCTCCCTTACAAGCTTCCCAACCTGCCAGATACCTGATAAAGACAAACCTCTCCCCAACTCCATCCTTCAAGTCCTCCCAGCCAGAAACCCAGCGATCTTAATGCCTCAGCTCCGACAGTGGCCACAGCACACCAGCACGGGTGTCATATCCCAATTTCTTTTAAATCCCAAAGCCAAGCTTACCACAGTAAAGCATGATGTCCAGGCAGACAAAATAGAAATATGCCTTGCTAAAGATGTGCTCTTCTGCTACAGAAAGATCCCACAGCCACCCCAGCACCTGGATCAATTGCTTATATCTATGGAAAAGAAAAGGTCATGGGATTAAAAAGTGGTGGGAGTCTCATGCTCATCTCAGTGAAAAAGTCAAGAAGTCCCATGCCAGGTCCAGAGTTCTAGATGGTGCAAGCAGTGGCAGCTGCAAAGATAGCAGGCAGAAGGGGTTCTTGTTCAGGGCCCTCACTAGAACTTTCAGCACTATGACCCACAAAGCCCCATTTGTGGCACTAAGTCTTTTGGGATGGGGACACTGACAAATGATACTGTTCTCCCAGGACTTGTGGAAATGATTTCTGTCATGGATTGAATTATGTCCCCCCAAAAAAGTGTGTATCAATTTGGCTGGGCCAAGATTCCTGGCATTGTGTGATTTTCCTATATGTTTTAATCCTGCCTCTATGATGTTAATGCAGGAGGATGGGTGGTAGTTGTGTTAGTAAGGCAGGACTTAATCTCCAAGATTGGACTGTGTCCTGAGGCGATCTCTTGAGATATAAAAGACAGAAGTGAGCAGACAGACGGTGGGGGGGACCTCATACCATCAAGAAAGCAGTGCCAGGAGCAGAGTGCGTCCTTTGGACCGGGGCCCCTGTGCAGAGAAGCTCCTAGTCCGAGGGAACACTGAAGAAAAGAAGGCCGACGGAGAGAAAAAAACCTTTCCCTGGAGCTGATGCCCTGAATTTGGACTTTCACTCTACTTTAACTGTGAGGAAATAAACTTCTCTTCGGGACCAACAGAGCAAGGGAGCTGAGTGCCTGTGTGCAGGAGGCTTCCTGGCAGAGTGGGGTGCCTCCGGGCACTTACCGGTGGAGCTACAGAGCTTTGGAACACTTGCCCCAGCAAGGCAGATGCGGGCATGGGGCCCGAGGGCCGAGGCCACAGGAAACAGAAGCAGAAGCTGAAGAGACAAGGGACACAAGAAGCCGAGCTGCCTGGGTCTCAAAAGGTATGGCCATGACCTCAGGGGTTCCAAGGGTGGAGCAATGGCCTCTGGTGCTTCTAAGGGTGGAGTCACCACTCAGATGGACTGGGAGAATGGTGCGCCTAAAGCTAAGGGAGCAGAGTTGCTGTCCCAGTGGGCCTGGAAGGCAGAGCTGAAGCCCAGGGCCAAGGGGCCTCCACTCAAAATCTGGAGAGTGTGGCCAATACCTAGAGTCTGGAGGGCAGGGCCATTGTGTAAATTGTCTCAGAGAACAGAAGATTATTTTCAAAGCCTTGAGGGCTAATGTAATGTGTTCTGCTAACTTGGTGCCTGTTATGCCTTCTTTCCCTGCAGTTTCTCCCATTCGTAATGCAAATGTCTAGCTTGTGCCCATTCTGCCATTGTACCTTTGGAAACAGATAACTTGTATTCTAGATTCCACAGGTGAAGATTTTTGGATTTTGGACTTGAAGTTTTGCTATGATATGATGGGGTGAATATGTTTTCCATGTTGCAAAGATGTAATTTTTGGGGGGCCAAAGGGTGGAATGTCATGGATTGAATTATGTCCCCCAAAAAATGCGTGTGTCAATTTGGCTGGCCCATGATTCCTGGCATTGTGTGATTTTCCTATATGTTTTAATCCTGCCTCTATGATGTTAATAACGGAGGATGGGTGGCAGTTGTGTTAGTAAGGCAGGACTCAGTCTACAAGATTGGATTGTGTCCTGAGGCAATCTCTTGAGATATAAAAGACAGAAGTGAACAGAGAGACGGGGGGACCTCATACCATCAAGAAAGCAGTGCCGGGAGCAGAGCGCGTCCTTTGGACTGGAGTCCCTGTGCAGAGAAACTCCTATTCCGGGGGAACGCTGAAGAGAAGAAGGCCGACAAAAGAAGCCTTTCCCTGGAGCTGAAGCCCTGAATTTGGACTTTTACCCTACTTTAACTGTGAGGAAATAAACTTCTCTTCGTTAAAACCATTCACTGGTGGTGTTTCTGTTATAGCAGCACTACATGACTAAGACAACCTCTCTCCTAGGACCCAAACAAGGGTATAAATATAGGGGGGCATTAAAGAGAATTGGGGGTGGGAGGGAGAGGATGAAATTTAGTCCTGGTCTAGTCTTGCTCCTGCCCAGTAATTCAGGACCAAATGGAACCCTTAACCAAATTTCAAACGCAATCCTACTTAAGACTGGACCCTACATCTCAAATCAGTTGTTTGTCCAAACTGCTCTTTCACAAAACTTCTATATCAGTGATCAGAGTCAGGCTAAGTTGGTGTTTGCCTCTAGTCCTGGTTGCTGTTCTCTGGGCAGTAGCCTCCCTGTGAGACTTTCTTTTTGCCTCCACCTGAGTGGGCGAGACCTGATTCCCACAGTGAGGATGACTGTCTGGCTCCCTTCTGGTCACTGGTGTGATGAGCACACTCACTCTGCACTCTTCAGTGAGCAGCCAGATTAGAAGGCTGAATGAGAAAGAATTCTGTTGAGAAAGCAGTGGTACCCAAAGGTAACCACCACTACCACCGGCTGCCACCGAGTTGATCCCAACACATAGCAACCCTATAGGACAGAGTAGAACTGCCCCATAGGGTTTCTAAGGCTGGATAATGATTATCAGTTACATCATCTTACTATAAATTGTACTACCTTCCCCATCCTATGGCTGAGGTAAAGTAAGCCCAGACATTCAATTAGCATGGCTTCGTCCCCCTAATTTGGGAAAATGTTTTAAGGTATATACCTGCATTTCAAGAGGAGAGATTTACTAAGTCTGCAGAGGACCAGATAGTGTTTGTTGGGATTCCGAAGCAATGCCCACATCTTATGGGCTCGGGAGCCTAGGAAGAAAACAATTCCAGTGTATCTCAGGGCATTACTTGTATCTTCATGTCCCTCCTTGCCCAGCCAGCCCTTACCTAAATCAATGGCCAAGTCCAGATGACCCATTTGGAGCTTGATGTTACTGAGTGTTTCAGCCACGTATGCCACAATTTCAATGCCCTCGCCTTTCAGGGGGAGGTTGAAGATCTGCTCCATGGCCATGACTTCGTACTTGAACCATATGCCTTGGTAGCCGACCAGCTGATGGTGCAGTGAATAGTCCAAGTATGCCTTAATGATCTGAAATGGCAGCAATGGAGGAAAGAAGGAGCAAGACTGAGATGGAATCCACAACAGAAAGCCCAGGGACATTAGCCAATGTCTGCCAGTAATCATTTGTTTATTAAGCTTGGGAATGAGCAGATCATTTGGCCAAAGCCGTGAGCTTAGAACAGAAATCAAATTGAGTTTCTACCACCAATTTACTGGATTCCCCAGGACAAGCTCAATGACACCTCATGCCCACAGAATGCTTAAGTAAAATGTAAGACTTTTAATTTTTGTGAAAGATAAAAGCAATAGCTTATATATGTAGATATATGATTACATAGCAAAAAGCCTTTGAAAGGATACTCTCCAAAGTGCATTCAGTAGGTGTTGGGCAGGGAAAGGGTTTGAGGAAGAAGAGGGACTTTAGTTTTTACTTTATGCATTTCTATAATATTTTAATTTATTTCAACAAGCATATATTACTTTTATAATTTAACCAGAAAGGAAGTTTGGTTTGTTTGCTTTTTAAAAAGTTCTAAATCTAATTTGGAGATTTGAGAGAAGTTGTTTACTCTTTAAACAACTCTTTAAAATGATAAATTTCTTTCCAAATATAGATTTTTTAGAGAAGGGTGAGGGAAAAATATTTTAAAGAGGCAATTATCAAAAAAAAGGATACATTTAAATTGCTTTGAAAGATACAGAAATATAGAATTCCTAATAGTAGAAGTGTTAGGCATTTTGGGAAATTAGGTGAGGGAGTCATTTTGGAGAAGCAGAGTTTTTTCCTAGAATTCCTGAAATCACACCAAATAACCAGTCCACAAATTCTGTATTAAAGGCAGATCCCTGGGTACTTGTTAAATCGCAAAGTCAACCTTAGGAATTCCTTTATTCTTGATTTGGAACATGCTTCAGATATTGCTACCAGAAGGGAAAGATAGCCAGAAATGGCAGTGAAGGAGAGAGAATTGTTGTTCAAATGAAAAATCCAAAGTTGCAATAAAGCTTGGGATTCTGTGGCTTTGGACCAAGAGAACTTTGTGGATTTGGACCATAAACCCTTCACTTTATGAGGAAGATATAAGGCTCTGAGGTTATGTGGCTTTCCAATGGTCACACTGCAGATAGGTAGAATGCTGGGCACCATTCTCTTGGCTCTCACTTTCTACACCCACTCCTCACTTATTGACATGGTTAGGTTCCAAAGACCAGGTCATTATGCAAAAATAGGCATTATGCAAAAATGTAGGATGACCACATCAAATCACAAAATGGAGATGACTACATCATTACACAGCAGCCAAATTACATCGTTACGTAACCACCAAGTTACATCATTACATAAGTGCCAAACCACTGAGAATCATGGCCTAGCCAAGTTGACATATAACCTTAACTATCACAGCCAATGTTACTCTTTCCTTGCACCTTGGTGATCCTTACTTCCAGACATACATCATTAATGCATTAAATAGCCGCATATTACATTTTTTTCTGTTGTCATAAATGCAAAATGTTGGATAACAAGATACTAGATAAGTGAGGAGTAAGTGTATTATCCTACACTGAGTGACTCCTCTGCTTTTGAACACAGAGTGGAGCATTTGCCCTGCTGTACTACCCTCAGTCACCTTCATCTTATTAATAAGTATCTTTTGATTCACTTTTCAATTTTCAGTTTTCTATTTTACCCTCCCCATCCCCCAATTCTACCACTGTTTGAAGGAGACAGTCCCAAGTGTGGAGAACAAGTATTTCATTCAGTAAATATTTACTGAGCACCTGCTATGTGCCGGGCACTGTTCTAGGTGCTCAGGATGTGAACAAGACAGCAGAAAATGTCTCTGCTGTCTTGGAGTTTACAAACAAGAAAATGCGAGGTGGTAGTAAGAGCTATTAAAATAGGATGCCGGTTTAGAGAGTCAGTTGCCGTCCAGTCATGTAACAGAATGAAATGTTGCTCAGTCTTGTGTCTTCTTCATGTTCGTTGGTATATTTGAGTCCGTTATTTTGGCTATTGTGTTAATCCATCTCATTGAGTGTTTCCCTCATTTTCATTGGCCCTCTACTTTACAAAACATGATGTCCTTTTCTAGTGACTGGTCTTCCCTGATGACAGGTCCAAAGTAAGTGAGTCCAAGTCTCGACATCCTAACTTCTAAAGAACATTATGGTTGTATTTCTTCTAAGACCGATTGGTTCATTCTTCTAGCAATTCATGGTGTATTCAATATTCATCACCAACACAACAGCTCCAACGCATCAATTCTTCTCTCTTTATCATTATCAAAAATTCACATGCATATGAGGCAATTGAAAAGATCGTGGGTTGGGTCAGATGCCCCTTAGTCATCAAAAGGACATCTTTTGTCTTTTAAAACGTTAAAGAGGTCTTTTGTAGCCACTTTGCCCAATGCAATACATCATTTGATTCCTTTTATGTATATATTTCTCACTGTATTTTAGATGAAGGTTAACTGAACAAATTAGTTTCTCATTAAAAAATTAATGGGCATATTGTTTTGTGACATTGGTGGCCAACTCCACAACATGTCAACCTTCTCCCCTTCTTGACCTTGAGTTTCCCATTACCAGCTTTCCTGTCCCCTCCTGCCTTCTCATCCTTGCCCCTGGACTGGTGTGCCCATTTAGTCTTGTTTTGTTTTATGGGCCTCAGCAGTGACTTCAGTACTGAGATAAAAGGGTGTCTTGGGGCCATACTCTCGGGGTTTCTCCAGTCTCTGTCAGACTAGTAAGTCTGGTCTTTTTTTGTGAGTTAAAATTTTGTTTTACGTTTTTCTCCAGCTCTGTCCGGGACCCTCTATTGTGACCCCTGTCAGAGCAGTCAGTGGTGGTAGCTAGGCACCATCTAGTTGTGCTGGACTCAGTCTGGTGGAGGCTGTGGTCCATTAGTCCTTTGGACTAATTTTTCCTTGTGTCTTTGGTTGTCTTCGTTCTCCCTCGCTCCAGACAGAGTGAGACTACTGGAGTATCTTAGATGGCCGCTCACAAGCTTTTAAGACCCCAGACACTACTCACCAAAGTAGGATGTAGAACATTTTCTTTATAAACTATGTTATGCCAACTGAGCTAGATGTTCCCTGAGACCACGGCCCCCACATCTCTCAGCCCAGTAATTCGGTCCTTCAGAGAGTTTGGATGTGTCTATGGAGCTTCCATGACTTTGCCTTGGTCAAGTTGCGCTAGCTTCTCCAGTATTGTGTACTGTCTTACCCTTCACCAAAGTTACCACTTGTCTATTGTCTACTTAGTGTGTTTCCCTCCCCACTGCTCCCCTTCCTAGTAACCATCAAAGATTGTTTTTGTGTGTTTATGTGTGTAAAACTTTTCATGCGTTTTTATAATAGTGATCTTATACAATAGTTGTCCTTTTGTGATTGACTTATTTCAGTCAGCATAATGCCCTCCAGATTCATCCATGTTGTGAGATATTTCATGGATTCATCATTGTTCTTTATAGTTCTATAGTATTCCATTGAGTGTATGTATCATAATTCATACATTCATCTGTTGATGGACACTTAGGTTGTTTTCATTTTTTTGCTATTGTATACAATGCTGCAAGGAACATGGGTGTGCATATGTGTATTTGTGTGATGGCTATTATTTCTCTAGGATACATTCCTAGGAGTGGGATTGCTAGATCATATGGTATTTCTATTTCTAGTTTTTTAAGGAAGCGCCATATCATTTTCCAAAATGGTTGGACCATTTTGCATTCACACCAGCAGTGCATAAAAGGTCCAATCTCCCTGCAGCCTCTCCAACATTTGTTATTTTCTGTTTTTTTTTTATTTTATTTGTGCCAGTAATGTCGGGGTGAGATGGTATCTCATTGTGGTTTTGATTTGCATTTCTCTAATGGCAAGTAATCGTGAGCATTTCCTCATGTATCTGTTAACCACTCGAATGGGTTCTTTGGTGAAGTGTCTGTTCATATCCTTTGCCCATTTTTTAATTGGATTATTTGTCTTTTGTTGTAGAGGTGTTGGATTTTCTTGTAGATTTTAGAGATTAGACCTTTGTCAGATTTGTCATAGCCAAAAATTTTCTCCCAGTCTGTAGGTTCTCTTTTTACTCTTGGTGAAGTCTTTTGATACCATAAGTGTTTAATTTTTAGAAGATCCCAGTTA